AGATAAGATCAGAATGGGTGCCAGTGAATTCACTCAATGATTGTAAATGCTGTCTTCACTAAGGTAAAGAGAAGTCTAGATGTTTAGTCCATTCAGCACAATGATAGACAAAGTCCAGGATCCTTTCTAGAAAGTATATATTTAACAAAACCGACATTGATCTACTGATCATATGGTGAAAATTACTATGAGATAGAAAAGGATCCTAAAACACTCTTATTTTTAGACATCTCAATAAAGCATGGTTTGCAAATGTGCAGGCTTTTTTTTTTTTTTTTAGTATTTTATTTATTTATTTGACAGACAGAGAAAGACATCGAGAGAGGGAACACAAGCAGGGGCAGAGAGAGAGGGAGAAGCAGGCTCCCTGCCAAGCAGGGAGCCCGATGCGGGGCTCGATCCCAGGGCCCTGGGATCATGACCTGAGCCGAAGGCAGACGCCCAACGACTGAGCCACCCAGGCGCCCCAATGTGCAGGCTTTTTATCAGTTGGTTATGTCAAGAAAAAAGTGAATAACAAAATCTCACTTCATTTGTGTGAAAATTATAAATGAAGGAAATTGCAAATTTGGGAGTCTGTAAATTAGAGTAATTATGTGTATCTCTGCCCAGATTTTATCTGAAGGTGAAGCCAGAGTGGGATATTTCACTACCATTGACAATCTGTCAATCAGTTATGAAGGAAAACATGCAGGCTCCATGGGAGGAGTTCCCTTGCTCAGCCCTTCCATCTTTCCTCTCTGCATGATTTTAATTGGCAGGGGATTATGTTTATGAAGCTCATCCTCATCATACTGGGACTCATCATCCCAGTGTTGCTGCCTGCATTTGGATGCAGTGCTGTCTGCTGTGATATGACCTCAGTGAGTGTCTGTGACCCAGAGGACTTAGAATGTGTTCTGGGATATTCTTTGCCACTTTTACATTTACCTCTTTGAGTTTCACTGAACCATTCAAAGCATACAAAATATCCAAGACCTTCTGTCATGTTAGGAGCCCCTCACATTCCATTTTGCCACTAGCAGCCACACGCATAAGATTGGACTGGGCACTAGCGGAAGGTTGCTTGGATGGATGTAGGTGTTCATGTCAGAAAGAGAAGAGTGGCCCCAAGGCGGGTCTGTGCATTAAGAGAACCAGGGCCACAAGTGAAATGTCATATGATATCATGAAATATCATCTACTGTGTTTTCTTCCTCCACAGGTGGTTGTCAACTTATCCTCCAATGAGCATGGATTTCCCATAGCCACTCTTAATCATGACTATGATGAGGTGGCTTTCCAACCCACTTAATTGTTTGATGTATCAACTTTTGAACTATTCCTGGATTTACTCAAATTGTATTATTGAGAGTAAATCAATAATCAGACAGTAAACAGACTCTTCAGTGGTCTCAAGGGGAGAAAAAGTTACAGATTTGCTGATGTTGACTCTGCTATTGTCTCCTACTCTATCCCCAATTATGATTACATTTGGAAATGATAAGGGAAGCATATGACTCATCAGCATCAGCACTGGCATCATCTCACACCCTTTGTAATATGAAAAAAAAAAAATGGAACATACCAGAAAGGTTTAGGTATTTGGGACTCTGGTCTGGCCTTGGAGGGTATGTTCCAGAAATGCTCACCTACACAGTTTCTGAGAAGCCATTCACTTCAGACTATAATGCTAACCCTATTCTGGGAGTTGTACAATAGGCCAGCTGTGTAGATCATGCTGTTACTGACACTTCCCCTAAAGAGTACAAATTTCCATGAAATAAATGAATTAAAATAAACCCTGCTCTTATCCTTTCACCTTGAAGTAGTCATCATTTCTTTTTATTTTTCCATTGTAGTGTTATCTGTACCATGAAGATTTGAGATCATGAAGTCAGTTGTGGTCTTTTAATCTGAGGGTCCTATAAAACCAATCCAATGAGTAAAGTGTGACTGATGTTTTAAAATAGGAAAATACAGGGGTGCCTGGGTGGCTCAGTCGGCTAAGCATCTCCCTTTGGATCAGGTCATGATCCCAGGATCCTGGGATGGAGCCCTGCATCCACCTCCCTGCTCAGCAGGGAGCCTGCTTCTCCCTCTTCCCCCACCTACAACCCCCCCACTGATGTTTTCTCTCTTTTGCTCTCTCTCATTCTCTCAAATAAATGAATACAATCTAAAAAAAAAAAAAAAAGGAAAATACACACACTTTCTGCACCCAGGTTCTGCTTTTTCAGTGATCGATCCCCTGCAGGTCCTTCGTCTCCTTTGCTTCATGGATCCTGATGCAGCCTGAAATAACCCACACACTACTTGAAAAGGGAGCAGTCATCATCACATTTTGACTTTTTTGAAAGACCTGGAACACTATCAGTTTGTAATCTGTAGTCAAAAGACACAGATGGCCTCTCTTAGTATATGTCTAACCAAAATTTAAGAAGGTACTAGCAGATGGCTTAATGCCTGTACCACCTGCAATGGGATCAGAAACACAATCCTCTGTATGATTCTGACTTAACTGTTGTCACAGTTTGATAGCATGTTGTCAAGTACAATATATTAATTGGCACTTAGCACTGTCTTAGACACTAGACTCTGGTCTATGGGAACAATAAAAATATAGAAAAAACATCCAATTGTGGCCTAACAAATTAAACTTCATCTCTTATTTTAATGTTTTTTTTTCCCAGAAAGCAAAGTCGACTATACTCTACTCTCCTATACTGGATTTTTAAAAAGATTCTTTGGGATTTTCTACATATACAATTATGTCTTCGATAGGGACGTTTATATTTCTTAATTTCCAAACTGTAGATGTTTTCTTTCTTTTCTTGCCATATTACATTGGCTATGACTTCCAGTAGATGTTGAACAGGCGTGTGAAGGGCAGATATACTAGTATTGGGGGGACAGGGGAGTACATTCAGTAGGTCACTACTGAGTATGTTGTAACTGTACGTTTTTGTATATGGCTTTTTTCAGATAATAGGAATTCCCATCTATTCCTAGTTTTTTGAGTTTTTTCTTTATCATGAATAAATAAGTTTTGTCAAATACATTTTCTGTATATTGAGAAGATCATATGAGCTTTTGTATTTAATCTGTCAATATGATGAATTGTTTACATTGATTTTGTTGTTGTTGTTGTTAAACCAGTGTTCCTTTCTTGAAATAAACCCCATTGGTTGTGGTGTGTTATCCTTTGATATACTTTTAGATTTGATTTGATAACATTTTGTTGAGGATTTTTACATCTATCTTGAAAGTTATTGCTAACCTTACACCAGTTAGAATGGTAAAAGTTGACAAGGCAAGAAACAACAAATGTTGGAGAGGTTGTGGAGAAAGGGGAACCCTCTTACACTGTTGGCGGGAATGCAAGTTGGTACAGCCACTTTGGAAAAGAGTGTGGAAGTTCCTCAAATATTTAAAAATAGGCTACCCTATGACCCAGCAATTGCACTACTGGGCATTTACCCCAAAGATACAGATGTAGTGAAAAGAAGGGCTACATGCACCCCAATGTTCATAGCAACGATGTCCACAATAGTCAGCCTGTGGAAGGAGCTGAGATGCCTTTCAACAGATGAATGGATAAAGAAGATGTGGTCCATATAGACAATGGAATATTACTCAGCCATCAGAAAGAATGAATAGCCAACTTTTGCATCAACATGGATGGGACTGGAGGAGATTATATTAAGTGAGATAAGTTAAGCAGAGAAAGTCAATTATCATGTGGTTTCACTTATTTGTGGAACATGAGGAATAGCAGGGAGGACACTAGGAGAAGGAAGGGAAAAATGAAGGGGGTGGAATTGGAGGGGGACATGAACCATGAGAGACTATGGACTCCAGGAAACAAACTGAAGGTTTCAGAAGGGATGGGGGTGGGTGATGGGTTAGCCCGGTGATGGGTCCTAAGGAGGGCATATATTGCATGGAACACTGGGTGTTATATGCAAACAATGAATCATGGAACACTACATCAAAAATTAATGATGTACTGTGTGGTGACTAACATAACATAATAAAAAAAAGAAAGTTATTGCTATGTAGTTCTTATGATATCTTTGTCTTGTTTTGGTATTGGAGTAATGCTGACCTCATAAAATAGAAGGGATTATGTTTAATTATTTTTTTCCTTAAATATTTGGTGGAATTAGCCAGTGGTATGGCTAACCAGATGGAGCTGGTTTTGTCTATACATTCAATTTCTTTAAAAGGTATTAAACTATGGAGAACATCTATTCTTGAGTCCATGTTGATAATTTGTGTCTTTCAAGTAACTCTCTTTCCTTCCAGATGTTAAATTTATTTCAAAAACTTGTTCACAGTATTTCTTCATTTTCCTTTTAACATCTCTGCATTCTGCAGTGATATCCCTTCTTTTATTCCTTATATTGATAACTTTTGTCTTCTCTCTTTTTTCCTTGGTTGTTCTGAACAAAGTTTAATCCATTTTGTTGATTTTTATTGTAATGTCATCTTAATACAGTTATATGTTAATACTTTGCTTGGTATATTTGAGCCTGATCATTGAGATAGATAGATGATAGGTAGCTAGATAGATAGACAGATAGATATTCCTGAAATTTAAATATCATTGGAAATATATTTATTTTTGTTTTGTTTATGTTTATTTTATTTTAGTGAAGGTATAGTTAATAAGATGCTAAAGCAAAGACCAAGAGAAGTTGGTTGAAAATATGAATTTCCTAGAAATTGCTCCAAAGGAAATAATTTTATTTAGTAAGTTAAAAGAATAAATACAGTCTTTGTCAGATTAGTGGAGAGAAATGAAAAAAGAATGTGTGGAAATGAAACCATCAGTTGGTATTGAGGGTTATGGTTATAATGCTTCTAATTTTGTGCAACAAAACATGATGTATATCAACTTTGTCTGAATACACCAGAACTGCTTATCTGGAGTTCTAGGTGTGGAAATAACAACAAATGAGGAAACACAGAGGTCAAAACATAGATTTCCCTCCCCCACATATTGGTACAGTCTTTGATAGTCACAGAAGAGATATAAGCTTAAGAAGACCACAGACTCCCACATTCCTGCATCCACCTCCCTGTTCCTGCAGTGGAACAAACCTAGGTAGGTAGACCTTTTTTTTTTTTTCCATTATCCAGAGCACCAGAAAGTACTTTTGTCTATGTTCTGAGAGGCACAGTTGTAGAACCTGACAGACAGAGACTGGACAGAATGTGGGCTCAAGGCAGAGACAGTTCTTCCTTTCTTTCCATTGGTAGATACTCAATGTCAAATATTTCAGGAATTTTTTTTTTTTTTTTAGATAACATAGAAAGTTTCAGTGACTTAGACACATTTGATCTTGTTTTCGTTCCTACTTTCTGACTTTCTGATTATGCAAGTACACTTTCTGCATCAGTGGATAGATAGTAAGACTTAGCATTAAGAAGGAAGTTGGTCTCCAGCCCTATTTTCTAGCAGAGCCAATTTAAGATAACAGGGGAATAATTTGGTTAGAATTGTGACATTGAAACTTTTTGTTTATAACGTGCAAGTGCAATTCAGAATGTCAAGAATGGACAGGGTGAGCTAGTTAAGTTCACAATAGTATTCTTAGTGAGAATCACTTGAGTTTTATAACTAATCTCATAGAGATTTAAGGAAGATTATTAGGTGGGTTTCAAGCTGTATTAACTTATAAAGGGTCATGGGGCTTTGAAGTTAATATTTAAGGTGAGGACAATGTGGTAAACAAGGCTAATTTTTGTATTGTGGAGTAACCAAGAAATACTGTACTGTCCTTCTCTAAATAGGCAACAGAGGTGAAATAGCAGCATTTGTTAGAAAGATGATGACTGTAAATGTGAAAATCCTACTCAAAATATTGAACAGTTGAATGGTAGCTTAAAGGAGTAGTCAAAGGCTGCACTACAGGCTTAAGATTTGACAGACTATTACAGTATATAATAACATATCTGTAATAACAATTATTAAAGTGAATTTTAGTGAGTAAAAATGTGCCCGGTAAATATTATGGTCAATATTTTGAACCTAAAATACATACTTGTTGAGTGAATGGATGAGTAAATAATGACATTTGCAGTAAGGCATGATAGGAGATACTTTCTGGAGTCAACAGTTTATTTTCCCCCCAACAAAGTTATACTGAAAGCTCTGGTTCCCTCAAACACGCAAACCTGTTATGTGTGGGCTTCAGGAGGCTAAATAAGGGATGTGTTAGTCTGAGCCAGGCTTTATCTAAAGAGCAGATTCTTACTTAGCAGACCTATGACTCTTTGGTCCCACATTTGTAAATATGTCTGTGAGTTTAAGCAAGTTATTTACCATCTTTGGATATAAAGGTCACATTTTAAAAAGATATAATAACTGATTGATGAGATACTCTTTATTTATGAAATATTCATGGAAAAGACTCATCCACTAAAGAAAAAGAAATGTTCTTGTTAGCACTCCAGTGTGATCACATAAGATAAATTCCTTGTTTCAACTCCTTCATTGAAAGCAACTATTGGGAATAGAAAAATTGAATACTTAAGATTAATCTTAAGTGTCCCATAAGAGTTCCATATCATGATATCTTAATCTTTTCATTAGAACTGCAAAGAAATTTACACATACAAACATTACTGGGACCAGAGTACACTGCTACCTCTTTTTTTTTTATTTTTAAGAAATTTGGCATGGATCTCAAGAGTCAGAAACTATGTTTCCACTTTGACCCAGGAATTTTATACATAAGCAGTTATATGAAGGGTCTAATTCCATATAATTAGCATAATGGGAGGAGAAAACATAAGAAGAAATTGTGTGAAGTGTAATCAAAACTAAGTTAAAACATAATAGGGAGAGTGATAGAATTCATAAATACCAGTGCAATAAGGAATAAAGTCTGCCCCTATTTTCCAAACTTAATTTAATGTTAGTAAATATTCATAAAATTGATATAGTAGAAGATGATAAAGAAATAAGAAGCTAACATTTTGCAGGGGAAAAAGGTTAAAAATGAGTTAGTTTTCAAGGGTGGCCATTCTGGGGTTTGCTCTACTATGGAAATCCATTATTGTTTTTGACAACAAGTACCAAAGCATATCCTAACTTCTTAAGAAGATAATTGAGAATTTATGCTACATTTTTACATATCTGATGATACTAGGAAAATTGGATGCATCATTTCCAGTGTCACACATATGAAACATAAGCATGATTGTATTTTATGTTGACAAACCTGGGGCTTCAACTAAATATAGCATTCATTGTCACACAGAAATTAAAGGTAAGGTGGCTTTTATATAGTGTATTCCCAGGTCTCTCTTATTTCCGTAGAATAATTATGGATACTACCCCTATTCTCTTTCATCCTCAAAACTATCTTGGATTGGATGATAAATTATGTGATACATTTAATTAAATTAAAGGGAAATGTCTTTAATTCAGATCTATTTGTCTTTATTTTTTTTTAAAGATTTTATTTGCTTGTGTAAGAGAGAGAGAGTGAGCACAAACAGGGGGGGAAGGGGGCAGCAGGCAGAGGGAGAAGCAGGCTCCTTGCTGAGCAAGGAGCTCTACTCCATCCCAGGACCCTGGGATCATGACCTGAGCCGAAGGCAGACACCCAACCAACTGAGCCACCAGGTGTCCCTCTATTTGCCTTTAAATCCTAGGTTATTTTCACTTGACCATGGATAAGGCTAAATAAATATATCACAACTCCCATGGTGGGTACTTTTTTACAAGTCTGTGGCCACATGCAACTTAAAACAAAAACAAAAAAACACAAAACCAGGCTTGAGATTTATAGCATTCCTTAACCTGGGAGGATATCTTAGAGTTATGTAGGATTTGATATTCCTCAACCTCTCTCATCTCTCTCCTTAATTTACACTGTTGTTTATCACATCAGTGATATCAGAGTCAGCAGCATGGACACATGAACATCACTTGGCCAGTGACTTCTCTTCATATATGATAAAGACCTCAGATAAAAGAAGCCCAGTATCTACTTCCCTTACAATAAGATTAACAATATTTGGCATATGATGGTGCATATCTGATGCTACTAACAGACAACCATCTATTACAGAATGAACAAAACTTTGAATTCTGATAGGATGCCTGTGGACATTCCTCCAAACCAAAACCAAAGTACCCCATTGGGAAAGATAGAAACATCTAGTACCCTGAAACATCTACTAGACAAGCTGCAGAAATTCCTGAAGGGGAATCTAGAAGCACTGGGGGTAAGTAAGTAAGCCACTAATAAAGAATTTTGAACCAGGAGAAACTGGGGCATATGAGGGTGAAGGATTATTTTGGCTGATGAAGTGGTTGGCATAGAGGCACCAGGTTATGACCTGTGTCAATCATTCTGTGGAGCGGAAGAAAGACACTTTGATTAAAAGCAAGGGACCGTGTTTATATGGGCATGGGAGGGGTGCATTAAGAGGAGACTGCAGATGAGGCTCTTGGGTGAGCCTCATTGTGACTGTATCTTATTAAAACAAAGTTGACCTATATGGGCTGGCCTCTGGGAAAAAAAGCACTCTCCAGGATCTGACTCTTCTTAGCAGATCTTCTAATAGTATTCAAGGGGGTCAATCCTATGGATGACCAGGATGTTTGGACCAGGTGATTCTCTCTCCTGAAAAATGCTCACCTTTGTCTTTAAAACATGTATTTTTTTGTTGTTGTTAATTTTGATGGTTTGTAATTTGGTTTGTTTTGTCTCTTATCCAGGTGGCTCAGATTATGATTGGTGTGAAATGCTTCTTATATGGGATAATTGGATTTCTTACTCCTGATTTTGAAGTGTACAGAATCATTTTCTTCTCAATTTACACAGGCTTCTCCTTCTGGGGGGCATTGTCTGTGAGTATCTCACATCTAAAATTATAATTATTCAATCATTTATTCATTCATCAGCTCAACACACAACTTGTATGGCATCTTGCCAATTCTAGAATACTTGCAACGATACTTAGTTAAAATTGAATTTCCAACCTGAACTTTAATATATATTCTAATGTAACACTTTCCTTAAGCTCTATTCATTGCTGTGTAGTATGATACTATTCAGTATAACCTTGCTGTTTTGCTCAAGGAGAAAATCCTGGGTTTGACACATGGAAGAAGTGTCTCTGAAATGTAATAATATTTGGATCGGAGAAGATGCTGGGGATAGGGAAGTGTTGCTCTTCTTAAGTCGTCACACTTCTTGGCCAAATACATTGAGAAAAATGCCATGTAATCTGAGCTCACATTTTTCCCTTTACTGCACCCCAAAGTGTGTCTTTGAATTATATTTACTCTACTTATTTTATTTTCTCCACATTGAATAAGTAGTTTTCCGCTGTGGTTTTTATGTCCACTTCTCTTATTTATTAGCTAAAAGAATTTTACTATTCATAAGAATAAAAGTATAATTATGGTACTTTAATTGTGCAGTGCATACACTTTCATGATTTGCTTTCCTCTGAGTTCTGAAGGGGTGCCTGGGAGGTGGGGGGCACTAGATAGGAAGAGAGATATGCATCTGGCAATGGGGTGGGAGGGTGAGTTGGAAGAAGCTGCTACTCTGCAGACACCTTTCTTATCTTATAAACAGTTTATCATTTCTGGAATTCTGACTGTTGCGTCTGCCAAGAAGCAAACAACACCACTGGTAAGCTAACAAGTTTTCCATTTGTCATTTCCATTTGTCAGAACTTATAACACTCTTGACTTTCCCATGTGAAGGCCAGTCACCCAGGGGATTCATCATTTTATAGTATATTTCATCATGTAACTGTCCATTTGGCCCAATGAATCATGTGATCATCCTATAGCTAAACACAAACAAGCTGGATCTCCTGGGATTTTAGAAATTCTGATCCCCATATCTTGTCACCATAAGAAGAATGAGTAAAGATTTATCTAGCTATTAAAGCCTTTTTATGGTATCGGGTAGGGGAATGTTAATAAAGATAAAAGCATGGCTTAGGCTTGAGCAAGGCAGACTTTTATTTTTGGTGGAGGGAGGACCCAATACAGGGTTAGAAACTAGAGATGCTAAAATGTCCATAATGTTTTTATCCTATCCATGGTATGTGTTTAAGAAAGATCAATCCTCTGCAACGTTTCTTCTCCCAATTGTGATTTGCCATTGAACTGAATTTAATCCAGAGATGATGAATGCCTGTAGATGCCATGGCTAAGTTAAGTCAGAATTCTCCTCCCAGTTTATAGGGTCTAGAAACCCCTGGTCCTTAACTTATAAGCTAGTTATTTCCTTTTTTTTTTCAGCTGAAAGGGAATCTAGGTGCTAACATTCTCAGCACCTTGGTCTCGATTATTGGGATCTGTATTCTGTCATACAATTTAACAAAAAATGGCTGCTATGATTGCAAGAAGGAAACTTTCTGTTTAGACATCAAATTAATTGCAAATGTAAGTATTATCCTCCTGAATTCTGGGAAGACTGAATGTTATCTGAGCACGATGAAGATGAGACATGATCATTGGTATATTTCAGGAACATGACAAAAATTCTTGCTTGCAGATTCCTTCCAAATGCATCTCTACAGGTGTCACATTTAGAAATAGAAAAAACTATTTCTTTACAATAGCACAGAGCCCCAAATTCTGTGAGCTAAATTTTATTTTTCAAGAAAAACTGGTGAAGAAATAGAATGATACTAAAATCTGAGTCAAAGATTGGGATAATTTTTACTTTATCCTTTATTATTTTTAAATTATTTTCTATCATAATATTCATTACTGCTAGGAATTTAAAAATAAGTATTACCTAAAGCTACATGGAGAATGAATATTTATTCTGACTTGCCACCAGCTAAGAGTAGACCCTTTTTTTGCAATAAAGCCATGTGAAAGTAATGGAGACGAATGGTCTGAGGCAGAGGAGAAAGAAGTCAGTAAGAAACCAGTAAAAGAAACCAAGAACACTGGAGTGTTGGAAGACACATTTCACTTATTAGGAAAATGACAAAAAATTTCACACCCTAAAGTGTATTCCAAATTTAGGAAACTTTCTGGTTTTAATTAGAATTGAGACTAATGGAAAACTGGAAAATTTTAATATCTCACTGGGGAGATCTGCCATTTCTGCCTTGTATATTGAGAAGAGTCAGCTTTGTAAGCATTGGCAACATTTCTGATATCTATGACAGACTAATAATAACTTCAATAATAGTATAACTAATAACCCATCACTACCACTACCAATAATAATAAAAAATGAAATAATCATTGTGAATTCTGAAATGTCATCAAGTTTAACTTCCCATCTTGTATTAGTATATTCAAGAATATTGACTATCATCTCCAGCTCTTGTTTTTCTACAGCAGCACATATATTTCTGGGTTCAGATCCAACCTCGTGCCACCATTTTGTATAATGTAATGTGTTCCCTTTTGAGGGCCTGATGTGGGGCTCTGAAATAAAACTTTCCAAACTATCATCAGGGTGGAAGGTAATGCATGACATTTTATTTTCTTTAACAGGGACTTGTGATTGTCCTAATTTTCCTAACTTGTCTGCAAATTTTAATTTCATTACCTCTCTCCATGCTCAACTATAATGTGGATGACAAGAATATTCACTGGGTAAGTGCAATTCTCAGAAGAATGAGGATGATTTCAACTATTTCATTAGATGATGCTGTCAGTGACTTTTTTTTTTTACCTTTGGTAAAATGAACAAAAATATAAACTATAAGTGATTCTATGGACAACCTGGGAGCTACTAGTTGTGTGTTGAGCACACTTGGAATACACAGTGTATAATTCTCTAGTCCATACATAAACTCTCACTGAGGGGTATATATCCATGAATTCAAACATCCATCCATCCATCCATCCATCCATCCATCCATCCATCCATTAATTTACTGTATGAAGTATACTCTTTAGTGTGATGACTATACAAAGTATCTATCATTCAAAAAATAATGAAATCAAGGTATAATTAATTTAAAAACCTGAAGGAGATGACATATATAATTGCAGGTATATACAATTGAAAATAAAATAAACTAAGAAACACAAATATAGTTAGAATTTTATGTTTTATTATCACACGTAACAAATATAGGTAGTACAGAGCTAGTAGCATACTTTCCCCAACCTCATCAACTGGCTCTTTTTGTGTGTTGAAATTACTGCCATGGCTGTGTGTCAGTTAGAGTTAATTCAAACAGAAAATGGAAAGTTTCATGGCATCAGAACTCCCCTCATTTCAAGTATATAACATTTATCACAAGCATTGGATTCCATGATTCTAAGGGCTAGTTAAGCAAGTCTGAACTCCTCAGGGCAGTCAGTCAGGAAAGGAAGACCATGGGTGGGAGGGACCCGTGGGCATGGCAAAAGGTGTCACATGTAAGTAGAATTTCTTCTCTTCCACCTTTTATTGTAAGCCAGAAGAAGCCAGGCTTTTCCTTCAGTGCTTTGGAAATCTCAGTTTGTTATCCAAGTTTATCATTTACTAGTTATGCTTTCCACATAACGGTCAGAGAACCTTCTGTTAGATTTCTGCCGCAGCACCACAAGACCCTCTCTCCAGTTTCCAGTAATATGTTCCTCACTTCTTTCTGAGCCAGACTGACAGCATCCTCAATGTCTTTATTTCCACTAGCAAACCGTTTGAGGCATTTTAGGCTTTATCTATACTGTTCCTCAAAATGTTGCTCCTCCAAGTTCTTGAAAATTTTGCTCCTCAAAATTTTCCTCAAACTTGTTTCATCCCACTGCCTAATTCCAAATATCCTCTGTATTTATTTACAGATCCTAGATATACTTATAGTAATAATATTGTATTGTTACCCTATTTCCAGTACCAAAACACATGATAATTTTTTGTTGTTGCCTGACAAATTGCCACAAGCATATCAACTTAAAACAATACCTACCATCTACTTACTACCTCACAGCTCTGTAGGTCAGAAGTCTGGGTGGACCCGACTGGATGCTCTACTCAGAATCTCATAAGGCTGAAGTCCATGTACTGGAGGCACCAGACTCCTGGAAACTCTGGAATGGCCTGCTAGTTCATTGTTGTTGTTGGCAGAATTTGGTTGCTTGTGATTATGGGACTGAGATGGTTGGCCAGGAGTCACTTACGTTCAGCTCCTAGAAGCCCTCTTGGATCTTTCAAACGATCTCACTGTGCAGAGATCTTTTCAAGTTCTCTCCATTTCAGCAACAGAGAACTTCCTCTTTGTCAAACATTTCTCATGCTTTCAATCTCTCTGACTTCCTCTTCTACCGTCCAGAGAACACTCTGTTTTTTAAAAGACTCCTATAATTAGATTAGGCTTATCCAAATACTGTCTTTTTTGGTCATATGATATAACATAATTACAGTAATAACACCATAATATTCTGCCCACCTCAGCTCTGTTCTTCATATTTGTGCAGCATCCACTGAGAAAAGATACAGAGAAGGGAAAGACATATTTATTCTTGTAAGGTCATGGATTTGAAGTGAAATGTATCCACTAGACCAACAGCGTCACACGATCACACTGCCCTGTAATGGGCGCTGCAGAATTCTGTTAGGCTCAAATCTAGCTAAAGTAGATAGAGTTTCTATTCTTAAAGGAAGATGAGCATTCTCAATCTCATTCCTCTCTATAGGCCCCAAATATAAACATCTACCTTCCTCCACACACCTAAAATACACTCACCAATTCACAAAGGACGATAATCCAAGCCATTTAGTGCCCTGGAGTCTTTGTATATTTGTAGTTCTCTCCAACAAATTCAGAAGTAGCTCATTGCAATGTGGGCTGAAAGACAAATTATTTGCCCCATCTCTATTCACAACTATTACATATATGTGGAATGGACCAAAGATAATGATAAAACTTCAATCTGGACAGAAAAAGAGAAATGTGAAATCACTATAGCAATTACAATATTTTTGAAGGCAGGAATTATGGAGATTCCCTGCCCCCAAAATGGCATAAAATACTTAAGTTATACCGTAGTTCATGTCTCTGGGAGGTATTAACTTATTCCTTTTCCTCTCTGGCTCTTTGTACGCTAATTTTCATGTCCATCAATAGAGTAGACACTGGAGAGTATACTTTTCTTAGGTATTTCTCAGTATTGATATCCTACTCTCTGATGGTATAGGTGGTGTTGGAATTGCTTTATATTTCAAATATTCCCTGGCTATTGTAAGCCAGGTCTTTGCTTTCTATGGCAATATACTCTCACCAAAAACAGGGATGGAAAGGTAGATCTCTTATTCTCAAAATATGGCTTTCACCTCTGGATCCAGCTCCTACTATCACATCCACATCCCACATCGAACAGAAAGGAAAAGGGAAATGGGAATACATACCCTTCTTTTTGAGTGTGTAACTCCAAAATGAGACATGCTATTTATTCTTTTTTTAACTTATTTTTTCTTTAAATTTTTTTATTGTTATGTTAATCACCATACATTACATCATTAGTTTTTGATGTAGTGTTCCATGATTCATTGTTTGTGCATAACACCCAGTGCTCCATGCAGAACGTGCCCTCTTTAATACCCATCACCAGGCTAACCCATCCCCCCACCCCCTCTCCTCTAGAACCCTCAGCTTGTTTTTCAGAGTCCATCATCTCTCATGGTTCGTCTCCCCCTCCAGTTTCCCCCCCTTCATTCTTCCCCTCCTGCTATCTTCTTCTTCTTTTTTTTCCCTTAACATATATTGCATTATTTGTTTCAGAGGTACAGATCTGTGATTCAATAGTCTTGCACAATTCACAGCGCTCACCATAGCACATACCCTCCCCAATGTCTATCACCCAGCCATGCTATTTATTCTTACATTTGCTGGCTACTTAAATTTTTGCCCATACTTAGCTGCAAGAGAGCCAGGAAATATAGTCACAATTTTATTTCCATTTTCCAGGTTAAAAACAAATTATACTGTTAAGAGAAGGGAAATGATAGTAACAGCTCCATGGGTTAGTTTTAAAAACTATGAAAATACAATAATCATCCTTTATTTAAAAAACCTCACATTACTTTCTCTCATCAAATAATCATTCATTATAAGAGACAGATATCAAATCACAAATACAAAATACAAAAATACTTAAAATTTTATATACACAATTACACATAATGTGTTCAGACACTCAAAAACTTACATTCTATTATCAGCTCATTATTTTCCAGCCCATCAGCAATGCACCATATATACAAATGTCCCAATATTAGCTGGGCTGACAGTCTTCATACCAAAATGATAAAAGAAGGCAAAAGCTCTATTATATCTCCCTATTTCTGTTCAAGAATTATCTTAATGGGTATGCTTATATTTCCTTTATCTTCCTAAAAACTAAACAGTAATAAGCCAAGTAGACTGATACTCACCTGGCTAAACATCTGGAAAAAAATAATCATTGGGTAGTTCTTTTTTAACTTTTTATCTAAATTACAGTTAGTTAACATACAATGTAATATTAGCTTCAGGTGATGTGGAGATCCACTCATCCTGGGAAATGGCTGTGGCCAGAAAGGGGGCCACCCCCTTGCCCATAGCACAATGCACCTTCATGGGGAGCCTGGTGCTAAACCATTCTTAGACAACCAGCTTCTGGGTGGGGGTTTTCTACATAGCAGAGCGGCTCCTTTGCTGTGATCTATTGAAGGTCAGCCCTCAACACAAGCGTTTGTAAATAAAATTTTAAAAATATTACCTTCAGGTGTACAATATGTGATTTATCACTTCCATACAACACCCAGTGCTCATCACGACAAGTGCGCTCCTTAATCCCCATCGCCTATTTCACCCATCCCTCACCCACCTCCCCTCCGGTAACCATCTATAGTTAAGAGTCTGTTTCTTAGTTTGCCTCTCTCTCTCTTTTTTTTTCCTCTGCTCATTTGTTTTGTTACTTAAATTCTACATATGAGTGAAATCTTATGATCTTTGTCTTTCTCTCACTGACTTATTTCACCTAACATAATACTCTCTAGCTCCAGCCATATTGTTGTGAATGGCAAGATACCATTCTTTTTGATGGCTGAATAATATTCCATTGTATATATACACCACATCTTCTTAATCCATTCATCAGTTGATGGTCAGTTGGGGCTGTTTCCATAATTTGGCTATTGTAGATAATGTTGCTATAAACCTTTGAGGTGCATGTATCCCTTTGAATTAGTAATTTTTTTAAGATTTTATTTATTTGAGAGAGAATGAGTGAGAGAGAGCGCACATGAGAGAGAGGAGGGTCAGAGGGAGAAGTAGATTCCCTGCCGAGCAGGGAGCTCGATGTGGGACTCGATCCAGGGACTCCAGGATCATGACCTGAGCTGAAGGCAGTCGCTTAACCAACTGAGCCACCCAGGCGTCCCTCTGAATTAGTATTTTTGTATCCTTTCAGTAAATACCTAGTAGTGTAATTGCTGAATCATTGGGTAGTTCTATTTTTAACTTTTTGAGGAACCTCCATACTATTTTCCAGTATGCATTTACCAGTTTGCATCCCCACCGACAGGGGGAGAGTTCTCTTTTCTTCACATCCTCTCCAACACCTGTTCCTGTGTTGTTGATTTTAGCCATTCTGACAGGTGTGAGGTTATATCTCACTGTAGCTTTGATTTGCATTTCCCCGATGATCAGTCATGTTGAGCATCTTTTCATGTGTCTGCTGGCCATCTGTATGTCTTCTTTGGAAAAATGTCTATTTCTGTCTTCTGCCCATTTTTAATTGGATTATTTGGTTTTGGGGTGTTGAGTTTTATAAGTTTTTTATGTTTTGTATACTAACCCTTCATCAGATATGTAATTGCAAATATCTTCTCCCATTCCATAGGTTGACTTTTAGTCTTATTCATTATTTCCTTCACTGTGCAGAAGCTTTTTATTTTGATGAGGTCCCAATAGTTCATTTTTGCTTTTGTTTCCCTTGCCTCAGGAGACATATCTAGAAAGAAGTTGCTATGGTCAATGTCAAAGAGGTTGTTGCCTGTGTTCTCCTCTAGGATTTTTATGGTTTCATGTTTAAGTCTTTAATCCATTTAAAATTTATTTTTGTCTATGGTGTAAGAAAGTGGTCCAGTTTCATTCTTTTGCTTGTTGTTGTCCAGTTTTCCCAACACCATTTGTTGAATCATTGGGTAGTATTAGTCTGACTGAAACTGACCTCACCCTCTACCTTTTTGGAGAGCAGCCAGTAGGCTCCTCTGGGCCCAAAGTACACACAATTTATCTTTGGAGTAAGATAGCATATATTTGGAGACAAATCATTGAGGACTTGGATTATATTATTCTTAATGGCTTATTTTACAGACTTTACAGATTATTCCCTAGCGGGTTTTTTTTGTCTGTTTTTTGTTTTTTACAGATTTCTTTATTGTTTTGCTGGAAAACACCTTCTGAAGGTCTTTACCAAGATTTATTTCCTCAAACTTCAATCTATCAAGAACTTGAACGTAAGAAAGAAACACCTTCATGTTATCCCACAGATACTAGCAAACAAATAGGAGGCTGCACTTCTGTATTTTGAATTCACAGTGATAGCAAGAAGCACATACTGGGACCACTGAGGCATAAATATACATGTGTATATTTATATACACAAATATACAATATGTGAGGATACAACTGTGTGGTTCAGAGTTATAACGATAGCAACTGGCGTTTATAATATTAAGAATTTGGTTGTCACCACTTTTTTTGTTATGTTTGGATGTCATCACAGGCTAGGTTTATGCTCTGTTACAAAACTTAACCTAGAAATATTGATGGCTTAACACATCAGAAGTTCATTTTTTTTCCTATTTTTCATGTTCATTATTAGTTGGCTATTCACTTTAGACCCACACTGATATGGGTTCTACCAAATAGAATGATATCTCAAAAAGTTGGTTTTTTTTAATTCTGCCAAGGTAGGGAAAGAAAAAGTTAGAAGTCGGACCTTTGGCAATTAGGTACTTTGGTCTAGAAGAAGCATGTGTCTCTTTTGCCACAGTCCATTAAACAGTCATCTTCTCAGCACTGTGTGGGAGACAGGAAATGTAGGGTGACGTAAAGTTCTGAAGTTTAGCGTTTGATGAAAAACAGTGAAGTAAACATAGTTTCCTGAACTAATTGTGAAAATACTTTGCAAGTTTGGTCCATCACCTTTACACTCTGTGTGTTTGGGTGTGTATCTTCTGTGACTAAACATCAGGTTTATTTATCTCTCAAATGGCCTAGCTCGTGCTTACTCAGTTTAGATTGGGATATCCAGCAAGGAAAACAGTAAATATAGGGAAAAATACTTTTAACTATATGAAATACTATAGATTAGAGTATTTCATTAATATAGTGTTAGGTTAATTAATTATACTCTATCATTCTAAGTACATTAAGCTTTTCTGATGATATTTTACATAAATAAGCTCATATATAAAAGCTTGTGTTGCTTAATTGGCCCACTGACAAGTTATCAAAATGTTACCCCATTCTTCTTGAATAATACAAGCAAAAATTTTCAAAGTCCAGCAAAATTAATACTATGTCCCATGAGCTCAAACAATTCCATTTCTGTTCTTATAATATAGAATATATTATAATACAATAACCACTAGATACATATGGCAATTTAAATTTAAATTATTTAAAATAAAAAATTTTTTAAGTCTATTTTCTTGGTCTCAGTAACCGTATTCCAAATGTTCAATGGCCACTTATGGCTGTTCCAAAATATTTGAGGAAAAATATGGAGGAAACTAAGAGGAAAAATAGACGAATATACTATTGTATTTGGAGACCTCAACACCTCTTTGACAGCAACTGATATATCAACCAGGCCGAGAAGCAGTAAGGGTATGGATGACCGGAGCAGCAGTATCAATCAAGTTGATCTAATTGACAGTTATAGACTTTTCCATCCAACAACAGTACATTTTTCTCAAATGTACATGGGATATTTACCAGTTGGTTACTTCATGTGTTGAAACACAACTCAATAAATTTAAAAGAATAGAAATCATACAAAGTATGTTCTCAATAGTTCCAAATAGTCCACGGGTCACAGAATAGTTTTTAAAATGTATAAAAATTGTGGGGTTTCTTTTGTCTTTTTTAGCACTTCTTGTGATTTTTTTTTCAAAACCAGATGTAACATATACCATAACGGATGGCTACAGATAGAAACTTTTATAGAGGTGTATAAACATGGTGCTATGGACTGAGTGTCTGTGTCCTCCCCCATCCCAAATTCATATATTGAAACTCTAATCCCCAAAATGATGGTTTTTGGAGATGGGGCCTTAGGGAGGGAATGAGGTAACAAGGGAGGATCTGTCATGATAGAATTAGTACCTTACATAAAAGACATGAGAGAGAGCTTGATTTGTCTCTTTACTCTCTACTATTTGAACGTACAATCAGAAAATGGCTGTCTGGAAGCCAGAAAAAAACCTGACCATGCTGGTACCCTGATCCCAGACATCCAGCCTCCGGTACTGTGAGAAATAAATGTGTTTAAGCTACCCAGTCTATAGTATTTTCTTATAGCAGTTCAACTAAGACACATGAGTTAGTAGACATGTATATTTCTTTGCTGTGTTAGCTGAGACAACCTGAAAGAAATGACATCCTGATAGCAACAAGCACACCTAGAGCCCAGATCTTGATTTCTAATACCATTCTCCACTAAAAGGAAACGGGGCTGCCTGATGAAATGGCTGATTCCAAGACTTGAGCAGGAACCACATAAGGTGAGCCTGAGAATATGGTAGTGCCATAAAACAGGGAAGGGCTCAAAATGAGACACAATGATGGAGTGAGTACACAGAAGGGACGCAGGAGCCACTGTGATGAAATCAGAAACAATTTGAGCAATAAAATAAAGTAGTATTTGATTATAACCCAAAGTATATATAAGTATTCATGAGTCTATACAAATGAATAATTGAATGCATAAATAGGTGGGAGAAAATAGACAAAACCCCAGTGCAGAACATCTAATAACTTATGTAGTTGCTGCACTTTCAAAGCAGTAGATCATAACTCCTGAGTCCTTGAGTCTGGGCTGCACACAGTGGCTGTCTAGTGACATCTTTCCTAAGACTACAGTATAAAAGTCATGAAAAAGTTAACTTTAGAGTGGAAAAAACTGGAAAAACTGTACTCAGTGAGGTGATTAAAGTCAACGTCAACAGTGTAAGTCATGTTGATAGTATGTACCCTTGATTGGATGTGATAAGAATGATATTTTACTTCTGAGTTCTTCCTCCTCAAAACTCAAAACACTAGTCTAATCATGAGAAAAATATCAGGCTAACTCCAGTTGAGGGACGTTCTACAAAACACTTGACCAGTATTCCACGAAACTATCAAGGTCATCAAAAACGAAGTCTTGTAAATAGTCACAGCCAAGAGGAGCCTGAGGAAACATGATAGCTAATAAATGTGGTGTCTTGGGTGGGATCTTAGAACAGGAAAAGGGCACTAGCTAAAAATTAAAGAAATCTTAATAATAATAATGCTTAAGTTAATGATAATGTACCAATATGGTTCATTCTATACTAATGTAAGATGTCAACTGATTTGGGATGTATAGGAACTCTCTTTACTATCTTCTCAATTTTTTAAAATAAATCTAAAGCTGTTATAAAAATAAATAGTATTAAAAATATTACAGTCTGATACAACTACATCAAAATGGTTAAAGTGAAAACCACACAATGTCAAGGTGAAAATGCACAACAACTGGAACTCAAGCACTACGAGAAGGCATGTGCATGTTATATGCACTTTGGATATAACCTAGCAATTCCACTGCTATGTCTATACCCAATGGAATTTTACACATGTATGTACCAAAGTGTATAGATACATTTTCATGCACAGCATTATTCATCCCAAGTAGAAGCATCCCAAATATTCATCAATACTTAAATAGATAATAGATTGTTCTATAAATCTTACAATAGAATATCTTGCAGCAGTAAGAATAAGTATTGTTACTGGCAATAGCATGAATGAAGAAAACATGCTAGAAGAAAAGAGTCATATCCACTATATATACTCAGTTATACATATCAAAGTATTCCATTTTATAAAATTCAAAGATAGATAAAACTCATATTAGTGGTAAAAGTCAAGATTGCAGTTACCCTGGGGATCTGAGTGAATGCAAGGGGGCATTCACAGTCTTCTGAAACTTTGATAACTTTTACTCATTGATGCAAGTGCTGGTTACATGAAGATGTTCATTTTCTATTCTTTTAAAAATTGGGGGCACCAGCCTGGCACCATTGGTAGGGCATGTGACTCTTGATCTCTGGGCTGTAAGTTCGAGCCCCATGTTAGGTGTAGAGATTACTTAAAAATAAATCTTTAAAAAAAATTGGCCATCTGTTACAATGATCTATTCACTTTTCTGTATAGTTCCATTAAAAGTTATCATGAGAAACGATACTGTGCATCCCAGTCAGATGATTGGTTATGGGACGATGTGGGAGGATGGGATTCAAAATCACAATCAGCATCAGTAGAGGGGGGAACATGTATTTTATTTGGTTTTGCAGTAACAGTGTTCCCATGCACAGATGTGAACAATTTCTAGCAGGCAGGTTATTACTGACCTAGTGATACTCAATGAATAATTTTTCTAAAAGCGGGAACTATTCTGTTAAAACTCCAGGTCCTCATAAACATGCTCATAAGGGGCCATTACTGGGGGCACCTTGTCATTGGTTGGCTGGATAACCACCACCTGTGGGGATTGAGAATAATGTATATTGCTATTCACATACTCTTCCAGCTAGAGGGATTCAATTCATCCTGGGGTCCCCTACTTCTTTTCTGTATCCTGGGACCTGAGGGTTAACTATCCCTTCCCTCGGGGTCTTACATCCCCACTAGATAAAAATCAATATCCAGCAAGACATGAGGCTCCCAGAAGCATCTGCCATAGCTCTCTCTGTGTTCTGCTGTCTCCAGTTTCAGGAAGGAGTCGCATACACAACAATCGTTCCTTCACTCTGCATCTTTATCCTTCTCATTGGTTCAGAGAGAAAAGACACAATGAGAGAAACAAGAACACAGACTCAGCATCACATGACAAACGTGACCCCTCCCTCAGGTCCTGAACACTCACCTGTGTGACAAAGCAGGCCACCTTGCACCCAAACACAGAAAGAGAGATAGCGATGCTGACTTCCAGCAGGGAGAGGACTAATATCGCAGTCTCAAATACCCTCTAAAAAGAAGCAGATGCCACCAGGAGAGAGAAGAGGAAAAAGGAAAGGAATATAATTAATAGATGGATACTTCCCCTGGCCCTGGATTCTCTGATGCCAATCTGACTCGTTCTCCACTATAGAAACAGGTATGTTCTCTCTCATAACAAACGAAAAAAGAAAAATTGAAAAGAAAATCCTAAAATGGCTGAGAGGAGTTCTACTCTGGAACTTCGTAAGTGCGGGGAAATTCAGATTAAAGCGGATGTATTTCCTTAGTTTTCTTGGCTTAGAAGTTCTCTCTGTTGTCCATTTCAAGTTATCAAGTTATTTTCCTTATAGTAACCTCCCTGTATGAATTTATACTTTTTCCTCGTCCAAAGAGGAGAGAACCTCCAGGTCTACGAAAGTGATGTCATTGTTCTTTCCTTATACATACATATACCCCCGAGGCTCTGAGCATCTTGGCTTGGAGCCCTGACTCTCCTCACCCCACCTACAAATGACACAGAGCTTGCTGAGCCAGCACGGCAACCCACTGCCATCTCAGCTCGAACCTGAAGACTTGGAAGAAAGATCCTCATGATCAATTTTCTAAATTCGCTGTGTTCAGTGAAGAATGTGAGAAAAAAAAGGTAACTGTCCTGGTAGGTCCTAGCAAAAAGGGACTGAAAATTCTCCCCATGAGATCAAATCCCAGATCTTACTGTTTGTGGTGATAAGCCAGGATCAACTGAGAGACAGTCATCTCAGACTAATATACATTTAGATAATACAAATATAACTTCAGAAAATAAAAGCAGCTCAGAAACACTTAAAGAATAAGACACCTTTTTTCTGATCCATGTACCATAGTCAGCACTACTGTTAACAGGATTATCCCTAGTCCCCCAGCCACAGCACTGAGCATGTTCATTCCCAGGCTGCCTTTGATCTGGAAGAGAATGATCAGTGTCCTTTATGTCCCTCTGTCTCATGCTCTTCTTCCCTTTGGAAAACGCAAAAACATTCACTCATTTTGAAGGGTTGAAGACACATTCTCAAATAATTTTCCTAAGTTTAAGAAAGAAAGAGGAGCATGGGCTGAAGCGTTGGATCCTGTATTCATAAATTAATCCCAGGAATGGAGTGTCAGACAATAGGGGTGAAAAAATTAAGTCAAACCTCAGTTTCCTCGTGGAAGATTTCGCCATGACCCCCACAGAGCCCAGATGATTCGGAGAATTGGAGATTATTTCCTTTGTCTTGAGATAGAGCACTTCCGATTCTGCTTGTTGCTTTGGGCCAAGGGAAACACTTATCAGGTTTAATGTCATGTTTCTTCCAGCAGCAATAGACACAGCTCCCGATACAAAGAACTAAAAATGGAAGAATCCACTCAGCCTGGTGAGCCTGCACCTGTACTTCCCCAAACCAGAGATCATCAGAACCTCAAAGATTTTAGGTCACATCTTTTGCTCTAAGAAGTAAAATCCCAGATCAAGGCATTGGTTTTTGAAAGGGAATGCTGGAAGAAATATTCGCAGAATTCTACCACTGAGGAAGTTGAAATATTCCACATACTCACAAATAAGGATCTCCCTATAGGAGATCCTGAGACCATGGTTAGGGAATAACACCAAAAGGAAAAGTGAGAAGAATAAATACACAGACCTATAACAAATAGGCACACTTTCATCAGACCAATCAGGATCTGAGCCACCTGGGGAGTGAAAAAAGAGGATGCTCAGAGTATGAAGCCCGCAGGTTTCTAGGAAGATGATTTTGTGGTCTTTACACAGAGCCATTTCCCATCTCCTGAGTTTAGAAGGGCCCCCAGCATGAAACCCCTGGGAATCCATGGCCTTTTCTCAAGTTCAAGGCTATTTAGAAAGGTTTTATGATAACTTTCTTTTTCCCCTCTCACTAGAGAAATGCATTTTCCTTTCAGATTACAGCACCTCTGATTTTTAAAAAATCTGTTTCCTGCCACTGTAAGGTTTATGGAGGTCAGTTTATGACACAGTTAATCATACCTCAGGAGCCACAAAGGACAACTGTTCTCCTCTCTGGAAATGGCTATCTCCCCAAATACTATGTTTGAAGGTCAAGCTCACTCACTGCCAGTATTTGGGGCTGCCCCGTCAGGAAGGTCTTCAGGTTGTCTGTTTGGTCTACTTGGATGATGTTCTTCTGTAGAGGATTCAGGCCAAACCATGCAGTTTTTCCTTCTGATGTATTAACACAGTCTTTAAGTGCTATAAATGTAAATATTTTACAGAGAACAGATTCATTCTTCAACCCCTTTCTTGTAGACATGAAAAATGGCCTTTGGAAGAATGGTATTAATGAGGCAGTTTGGTATGATGGTAAGTTAAATTGCCTGAGTTGTGATTCCAGTCACACACTGTGTAAACTTGGGCAGGTCTCTTTTACCATCTCCATGCCCTAGTTTTTAAAATTATAAAAAGTTGGGGAGGTGCTGGATGGCTCAGACCATTGAGCATCCAACTCCTGGTTTCAGCTCAGGTCATGAGATGGAGCTTGGCGTCAGGCTCCACGCTTAATGCAGAATCTGCTTGAGATTCTCTCCCTCTGCCCCTCCCCCCATTCTCTCTCTCTCTCTCAAATAAAGAAATAAATAAACTTCTAATAAAATAAATAATAAAATTATAAAAGGATGTGCTTGTGGTACTCGCCTCTTGTTGCTTGTTATACGTCTATATTATTTCAACAGATCTGTACATGTAAAACTTGGAACTGAGCGCCTGGTATAGTCTAAATAATAGATAGCGTCATTATTATTTTTATTGTATTATTGTTAAAATTTAATATGATAAATATGCATGCAGAATGCTTACATTTACATCTTCTAGGAAAAAAAACTGTTGGAAAATGAACAAATCATTATAGCGAGTCCTGTAAGTGCCATTGTTATAATATCATTCATTGGTTATTATATTATGGATATGGGTAATATCCATTCATTCATTCAGTCAACAAATATTGATTAAATGTCTACTATGTGCCAGACCCTGTTATAAGTTTTGTTGCTAGGAATATACCAATGAACAAAACATGCACAATTCCTGTCAGTTGGAAACCTACAATACAGTAAAAGAAAATAAGTTTTTAATTTATATAATGATTTTATAAGTGCATGTGAACAGAAACTACATAAAATGAGAACCTTCACTTTCCATGTAAGAAAACTTAGTTTTAAAGGGATTCTATCACCTCTTCAATGTCAGTTAGCATTTCTGTGTTTGAACCAAATGAGAATTCAATTTCTCTAGTAAATTGGCCTTTCCTAATGTTGCCCTACACCACAAGCATAGTGATGATTTATTAAAAGCTCTGATGTGCCAGGCCAACTCAAAATGGCTTTCAGAGTTCTCTTTAATTGTTGTATATTACCCTTGCAAATAGATTTGCTGCATGACAGCTTTTATTCTTTACCCTTCCCTGCATTCATACCAGTGCCACATGACTGCCACTGCCCCCATTAAAAGGTGGAATATATTTCCTTCCCCCCTTAATTTTGATTTCAGCCTTGTGACTCACTTTGGCCAATGAGATATCATTTGGCCATGGGATATCAGCAAATGTTTTAAAAGCACAGGCTCTTGAGCTCATGTCATGGCTGAGAAAACATAGCTGGGCCACCTTGCTTGAGGATAAAAGATACGGAAATGAGAAAAGCCATAGTATTCATCTCAGCTATCCCTAACCAGATAGCAATTATCGACCCTCATGTGAGTGATCCCAGGGAATTTCAGAAGAACCACGAACACCCATGTGCAGACTTATCAGCAATATGCATGTTTATTGCTTTAAGCCATTAAGTTTCAGGGGGTTATTTGTTAGGCACCATTACTGTGGCAATAAATCACTGATGCACCTAGTTTCTAAAGTGACCTATAATGAGTCTGGTTTGTCTATATTTCCTAGTTTCTGTCTTATTCTTTAGTTCTAAAGGAAAAAAACGGTGGTCATTCCTGCATATTTGCCCACATGAACAGAGATAATTACAAATAGACTCAAACAATAACATCATTACCTCTGTCTGGGAAAAACAACAAGGACAGAGCTTTGACAGCCATCTGTTAAGTGATCAGGATCCAGGTCTAAGCAAAACATCCTGAAGATAAAACCTAAACTTGTGACCTTAGGTTACAAAGGGGCTCAGATAATTTTTGTGCATTTTTAAGACCCACAGATATGGGGCAATGTCAAAACATGTTAGTATATGACATGTGTCTTATGTGTCTCAAAAAAGAGTAATATTTCTTTTTCTTTTTTTTTTTAAGTACACTCCATGCCCAGCATGGAGCCCAACACAGGGCTTGAACTTACTACCCTGAGATCAAGACCTGAGCTGAGATCAAGAGTCAGATGCTTAACTGACTGAGTCACCCAGACACCGTGAAAGAGTAATATTTCTATCATAAGACAGGGAATAAAGGATGGACCAGAAAAATTTCCTTACATGATCAAGTTTCATAGTCTCCCTCTCACATCAGGTCAGGGGTGAAGTCAAGGTATGTTTCTGCACATGAATATACACAACAGAACCATTTACCAGGAAAGGAGGACTTTATCTCATCTTTAGCCAGCCACTTCTTCCCTTTCCTTTCCTTCAATTTCTCCAGTTCAGATTCCATTTATTCTGGAGGTTAGTTAATATTTTGCCCTTTGAAATAATTGTTGAAGGGGGCACAGTTCCTCAGCCTGAACATTCACTCCCACATAGATGAGAACCTGTCCTTCAAAAGCAGTCTAACTTGTCCCAAATTTCATTCTCACCTCAGCCTTTACTAGACACTTTTGACCCGTGTTCCTACATATCACCCATTAATAACTCAACCCAGAATTCTTCCAAGAAGCTGAGAATAGAAAATGAACTCTTCCTACCTTCGCATCCCTCTAGAACTGCACCAAATGGGAGGTGAGAGCTCCTCTTGACCATCATTCCTTAAAACCACTTCCACCGAAGAGTCTGATCTGATCTGAAGAGTAGTAGGACAATCACCTTCAGCTGTGTTGTCACCATTACTTCCTGTGGGTCATCCTACCCTGCCTACCACAGGGCAGCTGCAAGGAAATTTCAGTGAATAAACTAGTGCTCGCATGAGATAATGAAGCCAAGGACCAACTAACAGAAACTGGCTTTTAAATCTTGATTGCACTCCC